AGAGAGAGAGAGAGAGAGAGAGAGAGAGAGAGAGAGAGAGAGAGAGAGAGAGAGAACAAAAACAAAACTGTTGCAACAGGTAACATGAGAAATACATGTTTCATTTTCCCAGTCCATATCAAATATCAGGCTCCTGCCTCTTCGGATCTCTTCACCCAATTCTCTCACTGTCTCTACCTTTTTCGCCGCGGGCGGAGCCGCGGTGGGTCCACTTGTTTTCTTGATTAGGTCACCGGCACCGTACCCTAACCACTCAAACTCCGGTTAGGGTTTTCTAAGGGTTTTTCTAGGGTTTAGGGTTCTTCAAAAAAACCCCTACTCTCCTTCCTATTCGGGCACCCTGGACCCGAACCACCCCTCCCCCTTTGACGGCGCCCGCGCCAGCCTTGCTAGCGCCGTCCGCCGCCTTCTACCGCGGACCCCCTCCTACGCCCTCCGCTCACGCGGACCTCTCCTGGCCCCCTCCAGTCCGGCCCCTCACCTCCCCATGGTCGACGGTGTGTAACACGCCGCCGACACGGCCACGACCACGGCACAGGGCTCCACACCCGTGCCGACGGACCTGGGCCACCAGCCTCAGGGGGATCTGCACACCCTCCTCACCTCCCTCCTTGCGCGCATCCAGGCGCAACTCGCGACCCTCGCGCCCTTACAGGCGCAGGTGGCGACCCTTGGCGCCGGCATGCAGCAACTCCAGGACGCTGCGTGTCTATCATCTCCTGGCTCCCAGTCCGGGTCCCCCGTCCTCCGACAGGGTGGCCACGGCGGAGCTTCCTCCTCCACCGCCCCCGCCCCGGCCATCTTGGTGACTGTCCACGCCCCTAGCATGACGGCCGCCACGAGCTAGGCCCTCCCTCAGTCTACGGGCGCACCCGCCCAGATCCCGGTCACTACGGCCACGGTACAACAACCCGCTACCATGGTCTCAGCTTTTCCGGGTGCCCCGCTTCTCCTTCCCCTTCGCACGACCGCAGCGCCACCAGGCTCTCCCCCCTCTGGGATGCCCCGCGCCGCTCGTGCGTCCACTTCCCCCACTCTTCCTCCCGCTACCCCTCCCACGACCTACGTTCGAGGTCTCGAGGACGAGATTGCCCAGCTCCGGGCCGACCTAGCCCTCTCACGCCTTCAGCCTCCCCCACCCTCACAGGTGGCCCCGGCTTCCGCCGCACCCCCTTCTTCCTCCACTCTTCCTTCCATGCAGGCTCGCTTCCCTCGCCCTGCACCCTACCCATCCCCATCCTACCTCCTCCCCATCCCCTCGGTTGCTGCGACCTCTTCTACCGCAGCTCCGTGCAGCCTGCCGCTGTTTCCCTCGCCGCTCCACCATGCGGCCCGGGCGTACAGTCAGCTGCGCCCCCTCCTCTAGGACCTCCGCCAACTTATTCAGCCGTAGCGCAGTCCCCTGCTTCCCGTTCTCCCCGCCGCCAAAACGGTGGCGCACCACTCGTCCGCTTGACGGACATTGCCTTGTATGACAGTACAGGCATACGCGTGTCTCGGTGGCTACAGTCTGCCACCCACATGCTCCAGCTCATGGGTGCCGCACCCGACACGTGGGTGGCTCACCTCTCCACGCGCCTGCGTGGCGGTCCTTCCGACGCCTGGGAGGATTTCTACGCTTACTCCGTTCGTGCAGGTCGGACTCCGACCTTCATGGATTTCCAGGCGTTCTTCGAGGATCGCTTCGGAGCCCGATATGACGTGACTGACGCCTTCGAGCGTGTCGTCACTACACGCTGGTCCGACTCTGGTGGCGCTGCCGGCCTGGATCGCCACATCCAGGTCTTTCAGGACGCCCGCCTCTTTTGTGACATGGCGTTCCTCCCCGAGGCGGCCCTTATCGATCGTTTCTTGGCCAGCCTTCTGCTCGAGTACCGCTCCGAGCTATGGCGGTACGAGTTCACATCGGCCTCGCAGGCTTACGAGGCCGCCAGGGACCATCAGCGGATGCGGGCCTGTCTTCGTCCCGCCTCCTCCTCCCAGCCTCAGCGCACGGGCCACGCCTCCTCCTCCTCTCACGACACTTCCCAGCGCCGTTCCCCTTTCCGTCGTCGCCCCCGCCGTTCCGCGCAGCAGGGCCGCCACTTCTCGCGCCGCTTCAGCGCGTTCGAGTATGGTGAGCAGGACGCTGGTGCCCCGCTGTCGCCAGAGGGTGACCATAGCGACGACCTCAACCTTGGCGAGGCCGTCCATCACCACCTGGAGGACTCTACTCTTCCTATGGCCGAGCGCCTCCAGCTCATCCTCTCCGCCCTCTCCCGGGCACGCAGCCGCCCCGGTCACGCTGGCGCGTCCCCCCCTCGAGGTTCCTCAGCAGGACCTCCCTCAGGGCGTTGTCCCTCCTCGCGGTGTCCTTTCCGCTGAGGAGCGCACGACTATTCTGGGCCGGCGTGGGTGTTTTCGCTGCCGCTTGGACGGTCATACCTCCTCGAGGTGCCCTTACACTACCGTCCTTGACCGCCACTACACTGACCTTTCCCGCCAGCGTCGTGCTCCGTCCCCCCCCGGCGCCTCGCATCCCCGCGGCGCCTCCTAGCCACGGTGCAGTGTACACCTGCGCCCTCCTCAGTAGTGGGTTTCCCGACATCTCCGTCGCGGTTCGCCCCTCTCGCTACTGGAGCTGAGGTATCGCCGGACTCAACAGAGTGTACTCAGCCCTCTGTCGCAGTGCCGTCTGCGCCTCTGCAGACCACCATCTCCCCTCCTACCCCGCCGCGACTACCGACGCGTCGAGCCATTCGCTAAGCCCGTTGCAGCGAGCAGCTCGCTACTCGCGAGGATGTTGTGTCCTCTCTTCTGGACTTGAGCATGCTCCAGGCTCGTCAGGAGCGACTCACCCTCCACGTTGTAGCGCTGCATCGCCTTCTCGCCATCCTCTCTAACCCTGATCGCACCCTCCCGATCATCCCAGTACGACTCGGGACCTCCACGAGGGTGTACTCAGCGCTGTGGGATTCCGGTTCTCGGGGCGACTTCATTCACCCACTTGTGGTGAAAGAACCCCGCTTACCCACGATAGGGCCTCCGACTCCCATCTCTGTCACCCTAGGGGATGACAAGACTCAACGCTTCTTCGATCAGACGGTCACCGACCTCCCTTTCTTCCTCACTCTCGAGCCGACTGATCGTCCCCCGGCGTCTCATCGCCACCGCTCCTCTGCACATTTTGATGTGATGGAGACGGGGTACGACTTCATTCTCGGCACTCCGTGGTCTCGTCGGTTCCGCAACACCGAGGCCAATTGGGCGACCAACACTCTCGTTCTCAAAACGAAGTGTGGACAGACGTATCGCGTACCTTTCGTAGGTACCACTGCGACACCACGCCCTGATCCTCCTCCCCCGGAGCCTTCGGTGCCCACACCATCTCCTTCTATCACTGTCACCTCGCCTCGGCAGTTCACTCACTTCATCCGACAGGACGACGTCACCTTCTTTATGGTGAGCGTTACGGATCTCCTACACTATGATCCACCCAGACCCGACGCCGAGCTCATTCCTCTGGAGCCAGATCCCCCTTCTATCTCCATGGCTCCCATCTCTACTTCCGCCCCTCCGCCGTCCGTCGAGTCCACCCCGCCGTCGCGCGCTGACGCTGACACTGAGGAACTCGCACGCTATACGACCGACCTGGAGCCCGCAGTTCGTGACCTCATTCGAGAGTACCACGACGTTTTCCCATCGCCGTTCTCGTACGCTGGCATCCCATCGATGCGCGACGTTGAGCACTCCATCCCGCTTGTGCCTGACTATCGTGTTCACCACCAGGCACCCTACAGACTCTCGATCCTCGAGGCCACCGAACTCAAGCGTCAGCTTGAGGAACTCCTGAGACTGGGTTTCTTTAAACCCAACAACTCCCCGTGGGGTGCACCCGTCCTCTTTGCTCGCAAAGCGGATGGAACTCTCCGTCTCTGCATCGACTATCGCGGCCTCAACCACTACACAGTTAAGAACAACTACCCCATGCCTCGTTCCGACGAGCTGTTCGACCGCCTAGCAAACAACCGCTTCTTTACGAAGATTGATCTTCGTAGCGGTTACCATCAGATCCGCGTCGCTGCACCCGACCAGCCGAAGACAGCGTTCCGATCACGCTTCGGCCACTACGAGTTCGCAGTGATGCCATTCGGCCTCACCAACGCACCCGCTACCTACCAGAGGGCGATGAACGGCAGCTTCAGGGACATCCTGGAGCAGTACGTTCTCGTTTACCTCGACGATATCCTGGTCTACAGTCGTACCCTGGAGGAGCACCTCAGACACCTCCGCGGCGTCCTTGACTGCTTGCGCAGACATGGCTTCTTCGCCAAGCTGAGCAAGTGCCGCTTTGCCCAGCACAAAGTGGATTTCTTAGGACACTACGTGTCTGACCAGGGTCTCCACATGGACGACGCGAAGATCACTGCTATTGCGAAGTGGCCCGCTCCCACATCCGCCAAGCAGCTTCGCAGCTTCCTAGGCCTGACCAGCTACTATAGTAATTTTATCCAGGGATACGCTAGGTATTCCTACGTCCTTACCTCCACCCTCCTCAGGAAGAACCCACCCTGGGCTTGGACACCCCTCCACGAGGACGCCTTCCGCGCCCTCAAAAAGGCGGTGACATGCGCACCGGTTCTTCACCTACCCGGTTTTGATCGCCCTTTTATCCTTACCAGGAGCAGTGCTTTCTCAGGTGTTCCCCTCCTCCCCTGATTCCTCTCATCCTCGTATCCCTCGCTTCCCACCACCTACCCCTACCACTGCTTCCCGACTGACGCCTACTCGTCCAACTACTGACGAGCCTTCTATTGACTATTCTCCTACCATCGCCGAGGACGGCACTGTCGAGTCTCACTCAGGTGATTGTCCGATAGCCTTCTACTCTCGTCAGCTCCTGCCCGCCGAGATAAACTACACTGTCGATGAACGTGAGGTTCTCGCAGTAGTTTATGCCACTCGACACTGGCGTCACTACCTGCATGGGGCACCTTTCACGGTGCGCACGGACAACTCTGTTGTCCAGGCTTTTCTGACAAAGCCGAAGCTCGCACCTCGACAGGCTCGCTGGTGGCGCGACCTATCCGAGTTTAGTTTCACCACTGAGCACATCAAGGGTGAGACTAATCGGGTCGCAGATGCCTTATCCCGACACCCTGACCACTCCCAGGAGCAGATCCAGCTCTCTTCCATCTCGGTCACCACTGTCCACCACTCGGTGATCGACGAGTTTCGCACTCAGTACTGCCACTGCCCCGACTATCGTGACATCCACGCGACCCTTCGGAGTGGCAAGACCGTCCCGAACTACTCTCTCGGGGACAACGGTCTCGTGTACTGGCACGGTTCACAGGGCACCAGAGAGCCCCGTATTTGTGTTCCCTCCACTGGACAGCTACGTGTCCGAGCAGTAGCAGAGTTCCATGACCAGGCAGCCACCGGTCATATGGGCTTCCACAAAACGTTGGCTCATGTGAGCCGCCTGTACGTCTGGCCGAAGTGCAAGGACTTTGTGAAGGACTACGTCGCAGAGTGTCCCACCTGTCAGGAGGTGAACAGTGCGAACCACCTTCCTTATGGTTTGCTCCAGCCTCTTCCTATCCCTGAGGGTCGTTGGCAATCCATCTTGATGGACTTTATCGGTCCTCTTCGTCCATCGAACCCCCCCAGTCAGGATGCTATCCTGGTCGTCGTCGACCGCTTCACGAAGCGTGCACGCTTTGTTCCGTGCCGCTATGCCATCAGTGCAAGTGAGGTCGCCGACATCGTGTTTGACCGAGTGGTGCGTGACCACGGCTTACCTCTGAGCATCATATCTGACCGTGACCCGCGCTTTACCAGCCGATTCTGGCGACGGCTCCACGAGGTGTACGGCACCCAGCTCCGCTTCTCCTCGTCTTACCATCCTCAGACTGATGGTCAGACCGAGGTCACGAACAGGACTCTCGGAGATATTCTCCGAAAGATCGTTCGTGACGACCAGCAGTGGGATCACCATCTTGCCCACGCGGAGATAGCCTACAACCACGCCGTGTCGCCAGCCACGGGGATGTCGCCTTACTATTGCGATCTCGGTTATCACCCTCGTGTTCCCGCGGACTTCCTTCGACCGTCACAGATGCACCCCGACACGATTTGTCCCGCGCTGGA